TGTTCTCTGATGACATAATAAAGTGTCAATTAGTACTTTCCATCCACTGAAATATACGAATAGCTATATAGTATAAATTGTTCCTTCAGAGAGTGTTCGTCGAGTTGGGATTAAGCCCGAATATATGCGTATAATTCAGCAAAATAGTCACATAGGTGATTGGTCTGAGTTATTCATTGATACAATCTTCTCAAATGATGCGGTCAAGTACAATCGTCTGCTTCAAATTGTCGGAAATATATGACCAGCTCTGTCATATGACAGGTTCCCTAAGCGGCTGTTCCACAATTATGGAATGAACTGTGAAGATTTAGTTGGACTCGAACGAAATATTTTATTTCTTCCTTACTATCACTTATTCCTTCATCGAGTGTTTTGCGTTGAAATGACCAAGAGCCAGTCTGTGATTTGCAACGAAGGAAATATTGAAATAACTCTATATTAGTTGTTAACTACCCGAGACCTCGTCTACGATGACCTATAACCGGAACATTTGTTGATAATTCAGCGAAATAGACATACAGGCGTTGTTTATGAATTATTCCTTAACTGAATCTTTTTGATGATGTAATCAAGTGTTATTTTTTTGCTTCGAATTGCAGCAAATATTTGAAAAGCTTTTTACGAGCGGTACATTTGTGAGTGTTCGTCGATGATAAAATTTAACTGAAAAATTTACTTCTAGCTCACCGAAGTAGTCACATACATGGTTTGGTTTGAGTTATTCGTTTATTGAACACTTCTGACGATATAATCAAGTATCAATGCTTCCTTCGAATTCCAAGAAACATTTGAAAACCTTTTTATGGGTGGTTCTTTCTGCTCGTGTTCATCGATAATGGAATTTCACCGAAATATTTGCTGATAGTTCAGCAAACTACTCACATAGGTATTTCATATGTGTTATTCGTTGATTCAGTGTTTCTCACGATATCAATTAGTATCATTGTTCCCTTCGCATTCCGGAAAATATTTGAAAAGCTTTTTATGAGTGGTTTATTTTGCGAGTGCTCGCTGAAGTTAGAATTCAACCGAAACATTTGCTTAGAGTTCAGCGAAGTAGTCACATAGGTGTTTAGTATGAATTATTCATTGATTGAGTGTTTCAGACGATATAATCAAGTGCCACTGTTTTCTTCAAAGGTCAGAAAATATTTGAAAAGTGTTTTATAAGTGGTTCATTTCGTGAACGTTCGTCAACGATCCAATTTAACGGGAAGATTTGTTGATACTTCAACGAAATAGTAGAACACATGTTTTATTTGAAATATTCCTTGATTGAGCGTTTCTCATGCTGTAATGAAGTGCCACTGCTTATTGCGAATTGCAGCAAATATTTGAAGTTTCTTATAAGCGTTTCTCATACTGTAATGAAGTGCCAGTGCTTATTGCAAATTGCAGCAAATATG